GAGCCTTTACAACTCCCTAACTAGGCCGATTTCCGACCTTATAGTGCCAGATATCGTATACGCGAGGGCCTCAAATTTATCTTGCGAGGGAATCTGAGAAACCGTTTTTATCGTGAACAGATCCATTGAGCGAGTGCGAAGAACAGCTTTCTGTGGTGGGAATCCTTCCAATTTTGATTTTAATGTTAAATGGACACTTCTGTACGTTCGTGTTTGCATTTTTACTGTTTTTTACTCAATTTCTTTTTCATGGTAAAACTTCTGTCCTCTAGGCACGCCTTCAAGTGTATAAAATAAATAAATAATTAATTAATTAAATAAATAACTTGACTCTTGCTCAACGCCATCAATGCCGACATTAACCGCATTGCCAGTGCGTTCGGTTAGAAACATTTTGTGTATAACGCTCTAAGTGTGCCTGTTGCTTTGTCGATGTGTTGGAACATAACAAAATTTATGACTCCTGTTATCTTAGTGTGCAAATATGAGAGGGACGCAGGTGGCAGGTCAGGTTTATTGACGGTCTGGGTTGGTCGTCGGAACTTTGTCCTCAGTGGTGGAGCGTGAGCGAAAAATTCCGAAGTTTAAGGGGTGCAGACGGCAGGATGAGAATACCGATCATAGGGGGCAAGATTAAGGGCGGAGCGTGTGCAAAATGACTTGATCAGACTAAAACGAGGCAGCTAAGCTGGAGAAGTGGGGAATGACCTGAGTACTTAATCAAGCACTCGATCAGAACTGCCTTTGATGTTTAATCGAGCAAATGCTTTTTTTTTNTTTTTTTTTCTCAGGTTATGTTGTACGTGACATAGATTTGGCAGCCCCAGGATTTCAGCAAAAGCAGAAGAGACTTAGGTAATCAAGAAAAATCAGTCATGAAAACGAAGCATAGCAAAAAACAACAAGAGTAAAAGCATGGCGCGACCACCTAATGCGAATTCGAAAATGTGTCGCTTTACAACCGAACATCCCAGCTAGGACACAACCCTCTAGCTACGAACCATAGACTTTGATCAAACCCTTCGACTTTGATCGGTCTTTTTGTGTGGGGTGCGTAAACGCAATCGACTCCAATTAGGATCGCAGTGGCCTTTTCAATGAGTATTTGGCTAATACAATGACATGGGTTGACCGGTGGCGACGTTCAGTCAGTGCTTTTCCCTCTCAGACGCATCTGATATCAATCATCCGACCTCGGCAGAATGAAATGTCTAGTCGGATTGAGTGAGCATAGATCCGGAGACCATGCGTATGATGGTGCGTCTCTTGCGACTACACCATCCCGACTACCAGCTGCTTATCGTGTCGTGGTCACGCAAGATACCACGACTTTCGAGTACTGACTCATATAATATTAGGTCGTTCTGACAGTCTTGAAGACAATGTCTAAAGCCTTTCAGCGTTAATCAATCCCGTCGGAAGGGTGCACTCCGCATTCTACTCCCATTCAGAATCTTAGTAGCGTAATGAATGCGTAGGTGGCCTATACAATGACTTGTGGTGGCCAACCGATGTATGTATAAGTCAGTGCTTTTGTCCTCCCAGACGAGTCTGGCACCAACTAACCGACACAGGAAGGTTTGGTTGGCCTAATCGGATATGCATCTGGGATTCGAACCCATGAGCATGAGTGCGAGATAGTGCGCCTCTTGCACCTACACCACCGCCCTAGTGGCGTAGAATTCGCCACAAACCTCTCAATAGTTCAGTTTTTTCTGAAATGTTGTGAAAGTCTCCGTGGACATAGTCAAAGGAGTCTCTACCCTTATGTATGGGCACATACCAAATTCGGCTTTCTCTTCCTTGCTTATTTAATCCTGTCACGTACTTCTTCATGAGTTCGAACTGTGCGACACTCTCTGCAGGTTTTCGAAACTTGTGTCATAGTACGTGACTTGAGCCCCTTCCATGCGGTTGCACGCCTGGTTTCATCGCTTCAAGTCGAAAGCGAGAACAACAAAGATAAGACCCGGTGGACTGACTACGATTTCGTGAACGTTCCGGATATGTTATGCGCCTGGAGTAAGTGGTGTCATCCGCAGTGTTTTGTTCTGAGCTCATGTCAGAATCAGAATTTCCACAGTTTTTCTATGAAAACTTCATGAATGAAATCTGAGCTACTGTTAAACTATCCGAGGATATTTACAGGGTGCCCATGCACGCGTTCCTGTAGTTAGGGTATAGCCTAATGCATCTAGTATAATCTGATCTGAGTTCATGCCAGAATTAAAATTATACAAGATTGCCGTGCCGTCTACTTGAAGCGGTTTAAAAAGAGCAAAAGTTCGTAAAGAGCATAACACAATTATGATCATTACAATCTATACAATTCCATACATGAGTAATTTTCCACAAAATACTTACTTTTCCAGAGATGTATATGATATTGAAAGAAGCTGGCAAGAGCTGTATTGACCGGTTCATTGAGCTTCATGCCTGCTGGGTTATGTGTAAGAGAATCCATGATCTAAACAATCAAAATAAGCACTCACTCAAAGTTTAAGTATGCAAGTAGGGAAACTTCATTTCTTGAATCTTCAACCTTCCACCACGAATGGTGGTTCAAGGGTGTGTGACAGGAAACGGTATATATCTCTGACCGTTCGATGTTAGCAAAGCCCAGTCAGGTCAAAGCCTTTGCACGCATAGACAGCCGGTAACCCCCCTCCCCCTCCACCCCTCATATATGTGAATATAAAAGGTGTCGCTCAGTTACTCGGCTCCGAAAGGTGAGAACTCACTTGGTCTAACCGGGTGACAAGGCTGTCGACACTTTGCCAGAAAACATCGTACGCACCATCACAGTTCACAAGCGAGAATAAAACAAGCCCAGCAATCAGATCAACAACGAAAACAACTATCCATGATCGCGTCCTGAAATTACTTGTAGGTGAATGTAGTCATCATAGAAGCCAATAGCAGACTTCAAAATGATTTCGGATAGGTAGAATGGCATTCGAAGAACGCGCTGTACAGGAAGGGAGAGCAAAACGAATAAATAGCAGGGAGCATCTGTGGGTTACGATAAAATGACAAAAGTCTTCCGAATGTCGGAGAGGGTTTTGTTGTTGTAGCCACCGTGGGAGAAGGTGAACGAATATCAGGTAGTTCTAAAGAAGAAAGGGTTGAGTTCTCTGTCTTTTTTTGAGAGTTGATCTAAGACCCACTTCGTAATTTGTACGACGTATACCCGACTATTTCAACCGTGTCATAGTAGCAAATTTCTCAGAAGAAGAATGATGCTTGACTGAAAATCTCGTTTGCATGACTTTAATGAGTAGCACATACCGCCGCTTATCAAAACTTGCTCAGCTCCATGGCAAATCAAACAAGCGCCTTCCTGAGCTCTAGGGACAATAAACAGAGTAGGAATACGCACCCCTACTGTGTTTGGCATTTTATGAAATTCACGATCTGCCAATCTCCTCAAAACTTCGAGGATGTCCGAGAAGGGTTGATTAAGTTGAGTTTGCTTAAATCAAGTTGTTTATTCAATTGATACGAGTGGGTCTCGGAAATTCTGCTAACGAGGTCGGCATCGAAAGGAATTTGCTTCTAAACCTGCCCATGAATGTTGGAAATATGAGACACCGAGACCTCTGGCAGCGATGAAGGGGTAAAGAACGAATGGGAGGGGGGGGGGGGGGCAATAATTGATAAAGAAAATACTTAACAACACAAAGTTTCATTCTGAACGTTCTCATCAAAGGCTATGGGAAAAATCGAAAAACGAGTTTCCAAAAGTGTAGGCCAAGCGTACTGCTTCGACCGTCACGTGGTTATAAGACCCGAAGGCAAAGTTGGCAATAAAACAAACACAACAATAGAACTTGGTCATATTAACAATTTCACAAGAAAACAAATTAGGTTTTTGCCGTAAGTAGAAAAGTCGCACACCCCCGCCACTGCTATGAAAGAGTTCAAATCTAAAAACCTCAAAGGCTCTTCACCAACCAACTGATAATGGTGGTTGCCTACCTTACGGAACTTTCGCAACCATACCGCCTGCACTAATCTCATGCTTGAATAGAGGACAAGGAGAACCATCTGCGCACCACGGGATTCGCAACTGCTATTTCAAGTTGTGGTATCATTAGTCATCATTAATATCATCAAAAATTCACTATCCTGTTAGTCTTTGAGTACAACCCATCCTCAAGCTCCCACGCTACGGAGAATTACGTTACTGATCATTTTAAGGAGGATATCCACTTCTCACAACGAACGAGGAACTGCATACTTATCTTTCCACTGGCTCCAAGGAGTTCAATCGGACAACCCAACTTCATATCAGACGTAGGGAGAACGCTGGTAGCGACTATCGGAAGTGTAAGCTTAGCCGCAGCGGCTAATGGTTTAGTGCCTACATCGTGACATAGAGACTCCCTTCAAGGGGCAGACGATCTTAACCTTCCCAAGAAAAGACACGACAAGACATCGCAGACAATTATGCGAACGAGAACTACTCAGGTTTTTGCCTTTTCGTCCACAATCGGAACAGACACTAGTGGAATTGACTCAGCTCATGCATGAGCTCTTCTTCGTCCACCCGTCTCACCCTTCCTCTGCTCACCTGCATTCGTACTCTNCTCTTGGTTCTCCTGTTATTGCCCTGTACTAGGCCAGCCTATCTTGCCCCAGTACCTACCCAGTTGTGCCTTTTCCTTTGCTCCTCCCTTCTTAGCAAATCACGAATGATGGGCGAAAATTGCCTCACTATTCTACCCTATTTTTGGAGTATCTGGATTAAGTCCACAATAACTGCATCAGTTCGCGCATGGATAGCTGAGAATGATTTTCCCTTTCTGGCCAGTGAGTTCACTCCACGAACGAGATTGGGTTCATTACCACTGAATGGCTCGCTTTCGCGTTACTGACGCATCTGCAAGGGAGGGATTTGCACTGACGACTTCAGAGCTTTTAGACGTCCCTGCCACGCACGACCCAAATAGCACTCAGCACGCATCTTGTGAAAGAATTCAAGGAACAGGCGGCAACTGATCCATGGTTGCTGATTCATGTCAACCTTTATCTTTGAACCTCTATCGGTTATGGGTGACGGAACTTCTCCCCGATTTCCCACGTTCGCTTCGCCGCATGCGGCAATTTTTTTTTAATTGAGTCGAAATTACCGTACTCAGCCCGTCTCCCCTCCAATCGATAATCGATAGGACACCAAATTTTCGTTGGCAGAATTTCTTTTTTTTTTGATTAGTATTGTTTGTTTTTCTGTTGGTTTGATTAGCTTCCGCTGGCAAAGCAAAACTTGCTCCTTCCCTAAAAAGTGGCCTTTGATATCTTTCAGATATGGCAGCATCTAGAACTCACAATCCTACCAGGTTTGATCTCAGGACGGTCTTCGAGTCTCTCCGGGTTCTTATGCCAATAAACTCAGCAAGCAAGTTTGAAAATCCCCCTTCAAACTCAATGAAGGTGGCGGACTACTCCAGAAATGCATAACTCCTCCAACTCACAAGATCTATGCGAATGTCCGATGAGGATGTAAGAGAGTCGAATGATCTAAGACTGAATCTTAGATGATGAACGATAAAGTCTTCCAGCATTGATCAAACTCGTTTTAGGGCGCATCCCGGCATTCAGCTTCCATTTATAATCGCAGTGGCGCTTTGCATGAGTATTTGGCTAATACAATGGCTTGTGGTGGCTAGCCGATGAACAGTACTTTTATCTACCTAGACAAAAGGATATTAAGGACTCAGAGGAAGGAACGCTTGTTTGATCTGAGCCATGCCAAACTATCATTGGACCCGAGGGTCATGCGTGTAAGAGCGCGCCACTTGGCACGAAGCCATATCCGCCCCAAATTATTCAATAAATCGGAAAAAATGTTTTGCATCAAGTTTGGGGCGCGCCATCCAGCAAACACCTGACAGCAGCGTGCTGAACCACCAACAACATCTACCGCTGTTACATTTGCTATTCTGTCAACGACCAGGAGAACGGAGCGCTGCAGATCCCCGGAACCACCTTAACCCCTAGCCGTGCTATCAGCTCCATATTCACAATTATTAAGCCCTACATTCTCCCACCACCATCCATTATGACCAAGCCAAAGCTTAGAAGCGTTGAAGGAGATGAGCCGCATTCTAACAGCCCATTAGATACAATCATTAGGACCCATGTCACGTTGAAAGTGGTCCTAGACGTAGTGGCCTGTTATGGTACGCTATCTAGCGGGCCGACGCCACAATGTCGCACAGGCTGTTGTTATAAGCTGTGGAATTTCCAAACGCGGATGTGTCCTTTTTATTTCCTGACGAAGATGCTCCTCAGCTAATGCAGCCAGTGACTTGCAATTCAGTATTGACTGAGGGCTCACACTTGTCTGCTTCAATTAGCGGCTTGTTGCCGAGCAGCTCCAGTCAGTTGGCACGTTGCACCATGTCCTTTCACAAGAGTCAGGCTCGCCAGCTCCTAGTCACGCAATGCTTGCGGGTTCCCATAGCGGATTCCATTCAAAGAAGAGAAAACGAAGTGATGTCCTTCTTTGAGTAGGTTCATATTTGTCCCTGACTCGACAGCTTTCCCGACAACTACAAGCGAATGAGTGGCCGCATCACGTGTCGTCATGGGTAATTCAACCTCAAGCATGCATCCCCTCATTCTACGATGTCATCTCAGAAACGCGTACTAGACAGCAAACTCCTTGATGCGATCGTTTTCCATGACTCCCTCCCAACGGTGTACTCTACCCCCGTTAGCCTCTCGTTTTGTATGAAAATATACGAATTGGTACTTGCTAGATTGACAGCTCCATCGCTCATGTGGAGTTTGTTTGCTCCATTGCACCTTAAGAGTGAACCAAAATAACTCGGTATTTGCAGAAGCATAACCTCAGCAGCCATCACTCTGCTCGTTCATTTGCTATGATGAAGACCCCGTTAGAAGTGTGCGGAAGAAATGATTACAATGCAAACAATGCAATTAGAACAGACTTAGTCAACTAAGCAACTAAGAGGAAGTGGGGGGGGGGGGGGGGGGGGGGGTTGTTTGTGAAAAG